ACTTGCATCCAGAGAGAGCGTCAGCACGTACCGGCTAAAAAAATCGATACCTCGTGTAACTGATAAGACTGTAGAAAATAAAAACAACAAACATATTTTTCGTTCAACATAAACACTACAGCTTTACATTTATTTATGCATAATAATCTGTCACCAAAGCTGCATGTACAACACGAAAGTAAAATGCGCATTGTATTGTTGAAAACCATCGTTTTGGTTACACGTGGCTCTGTAAAAAACACAAGATATTGTATTTTTATACATACAATAAAAATTTATCTTTTTTATATAAACGTGTTCAATAATAATCTATAAATAATGAATAATGTACACATTATATTATGAACCGTGTGTATACACAGTATAAAATATCTAACTGAGGCTACATCATGTAATCGAGAACAAAAATTAGCAACAAAATAAAGTCAAGGTTGAACGTTAAGTAGGTACGTTAAAAAATTAACTATACCGTTTTTCAGTGTTCATATGAAAATGGATTCGCCGATTTTTAGTAAGTTATTATTTTCAATCGGACTGAAATTAGAAGCCAATTGGGTCACAGCGTTAAATTTATGTGTAAAACTTCAAGTCCGTAGAATATATAGGTTATATAACACCTAAATATATTTAGGTATTATCTTATACGAGAATTCTCAAAATTTCGCTCTTAATTATATATTTATTTATAAAAAGTCACTGGAAAACGTTAGGACAAATTATTGAGGAACAGGCCAAACATGAAGGACCAAAGGACCGGCGCATTTAAATCTTCCTATATACTTATTCTTATTTCAAAATTAAAAAAAAAATTAAATGTACATGAAAAATGGCAATAACAACTTTTTTGATACTAATATTATTTGCAAAATTTAATTTTGATCAAATAAAAGTTGAATTTATTTTGTACCATAAAAAACGAACAATTGGTAAACAAAAAAATGTAATGACCAATCATGATGGGTTATTCTACAAACAAGTAACCATTTCTAGTAACTATTCTGTTGGACGTTGTTTAAGATATAACTATATTTAAATGTCCATCTTAAGCTACAACCGTGCACGAGTTTAAACAGTTTTGTGAAATACGTCCAAGCAGAACACTCAAGCCAATGTTTTCAAATTCACTACATTTTATATTTGAAGGTAACATGTGATTTAAGAACTTATTTATTTAATAACTACATGTATGAAAAACTAATATTTAAAACAAAATCAACATATACATTGAACTTGGTGGAAATAATAATTGTCTACTTTCGATTACACCATGTGCGTTTTCGTTAGCAAATGGCAATTATTATTGATTGTGATGTAGTTAAACTTAACTCTGTTTCAATACCGTATTTGTTCAGTGTTCAATGATCAATATTGAATGAAGCGATCAGTGAAGGTTATCGCGGATAATTGTATTTTCATAATTTTTCAATTGTATTTGTTGTATACGTAAAAGCGGTTGTTCAGTGTTTTACTCGGATCTGAAGACGACCAACAAAAATATAACTTATCAATAAACAATTACATGCCACTAGGAGTTAAACAAAAAACACATCATCAACAGCGACAGCTTAAATCGACCCAAACGTCATTCAGTGTTCAAAATAATTTCATACGTAACGGATAATATTTTTTCCAAACAATAAAAAACTATAATGTAGGTATTAATTTTATTTTAACAGCTGCATACGGTTACCGATCGAACTTGTTACCTTTTGAAATTAATGTGGTTTTTTTTCTCCACTCAAAAAAACAAACCGGCCATACGTCACAAAGTTGTATTGAAAATATATAATATTTCGTACTATGAATGTGATAAAACTTTTGTAATCGTTGTTATGAACTTGTTACAACTTTTAATAATTCCTTTGCTTTTGGCTGTTGTGTATATTTTGTTTTTATGAATTAAAGTTTGGAGTTTTATACAATTTTGTAATTGTTATTTCCTGACGTGAATAACAGCACTGGAAATAACTTAATGCGGATGTCAGGTCTATTTTTAAATATACTCATACTTAAGCATATACATATTAAAAGCTTGACCCTTGGTGTGGCGTTACTGCTACTATGTGGTACACACCGCACACAATTCGTACAATGACAAGCCTTTTCTAGGCTAAAAAAAAACCGCAGACAAATCACGTTTGTTTTTGATTCGCCGCCGAAATTAAAACGCGTTCATGCCTAACTGCTAAAAATATATTTAACATAATTAAGCCAAACAGTTAAACTCGAATGCGTCGGTGACGGGTCTTATTTTAAATGCGGACATAAAAAAATTTACTTAGTAAAATATTTGAAAAACAACACAACACCCTATTAAGCAATACCGTTATTGCACACCAATTGATTTGAGGAGGAAGTCGTGGGTAATTGCGATTTTGGCCCGTATTTGGCGATTAAAAAACTCAATCACCAATAAATCTCTTCAGCATATTTAGGTTGACATACTTGTGTACACAGGTATAAGATATTTAGATTTATTTTGTAACATGTTTCCGGCTCAGTTACCGAATATTGGATATTATTTTTTTTTTTTAATACTATTGTCTAAATTTGGAAAATAATACTTCGGCGGGATATAATGTTTTGACGACGACGGCGGTCATATAGCGGCTACACTCTTAAATTATTCGCCAAAAACGTCCCTGTTAAAAAATGTAAATGCCACATAGTCAACAACCCCTTCGGGCCCGCCTACCAGCCGCCCGGCACGATGAATTATTCACTATAGGTATAATAAGAAATTATTTCGCAGAAATAAAAAAAATTGTTGTCACGACACCAGGTGGCGACATGATACCTAATTATATAACCGTTGGCTTCATACCTATGCATGCGTTAAACCTTATTTTTGTTCGACCAAAAACCGCAAAGATATTGACACTCATTAGGCGTATTTCTTAGACCGCCAGGAATTTAAACACCATCTCGGGGCTCGAGTAGCAGCGGTACACGTTTTGTCTTTTGACCTTCAAAACAATTCGGCCCCCGATCGATTTACCAGGGCCGTAAAGCAAGTATGGTAGCGAGGGTGGTCAAAACGACCCACGGGGGTTGTTAACCCGCATAATGTTTTGCAAACGAAAAGGGAAAAAGTAAATCATCCCAATTCGTAAGTCCCTTTAATTCAAAAATGCGAAACGATCGATGTGTTTATGTCACAAAACGACTGTTGCAGTGTTTTTTGTAACTCTCCATTGACCGAGTCTGTTCAAAATTTAACCGACATTGCTATATAAACAACACAAGGTCTGCAAAAAATATAATACATTTAAAAATTCGCCGTTTGAAGTCGCTTTCGCAGAGTACGCATAATCTCCAATTGCGCCACTTAAAAATATCTATCTTGGGACTATTTTATAAATCTCCTTTAATACAAATTAAAAAAAACATACAACAAACAGTAAGAGTACGACAGAAAAAAAGTGTTAGGCAATATACGTTACCTAAAGATCATACACAAAAGTAGTTGTTTGAATAAAAACGATGTCGTACGTAGGTTTGAATACTTTCGAATTAATATAATATAATCAGACGAGTTTCCCTTACGACCTCATTTGATGACATATTTTTTATATAAGCATAATACCTAGGTTCCCAACTATAATATTATAATTATCGAATCAAATGAAAATATTAACAGCGACCATAGAAGCTGCAACAAAAACTAATGTAAAAACACATTTTCTATTGCGACTGTTCAGTCAGATCAAAGTATTATGGTGTCGAATATAATATATAATGTATTCATTGGTGTAGTATGTTAGTATATTATTTGCTATAGGTATACTTAACGACGTTTGGAAATGTTTATTATGAATAAAAAAGAAATCATGTCAAAAACCATTAGCGTGGTTGGGGATGCGGCGATAATGTTTGATTGGGTGCTGAGGGGGGATTGGCGAAAAACAATTATTCCTTTAGGCGTGTACGACCGCAACGCAATGGGGAGAAGGGGGGCTATGGGGAAATAAGCCATAATCCCTACCGTAACCGCAGTACACTTAGGTAGTAGCGCCGTGTTGGCCGGTTGACAGGAGGTGGGAGTGGGAGCCACCGGGTGGGGCGGCCGGCGGTGTGGCGGCCCGTGTGCGGCAGGTCGTCCGCGCTTTGGCGACGGCGGCGGCGAGTGATGTCACGCTGACGTCACGGGTACGGGCGGGCTGCCATTGGCCAGGGCTCCTGCCCGCCGCCGCCTCCGCAGCCACCACCGCCCGGCGGCGTCCTGCGTCCATCCATATATGGGACAGAGACGGGCTTCATTCATAAAACGACGCTATACGTCGACCCGCGCGCCGTGTGGGCAGTGCGCTTATTTTTCAGTATACGCCGCCGTCGTATCCGCCACTACACGCGCCGCGCGCGCCTTCAGTTCAACAAGTCCACCGGCGCCAGTATCACGTGCGTGTGCGTGAGCGTGAGCGTAAGCGTGTGGTTGTGTGTTCATCTCGTCGATTTATACTGTGCATACGAACGGTGCGCGATAAATTATATTATTGTTAAACTGTATCAAACGCGTCCTCGATTGTTGTTATTTTTATTATATAATATTAAATTCAACGCATATTTGAATATATTTTTTTTTTATCAAAAAAAAAAAAAAATGCGAATCCGCGAAGACGAATAATAAATTTGGCGAAAAAAAACATTCATTACATCGGTTCGCGAGTCCGCTTGAACGTCGCCGCCCGCTATTAGTGTTGCGCCGCACCGTATTTTCCGCTCGAACGCCGCGACCCCAAACGTAGGCCTGGCACTGTCCAGGTGCGTGATCCGCGTGCCCCTGGCCCCCAGCTCGTGGTCGCCTCCCCCGGACGACTGGTATCCGTTCCACGACATCGAGCTGGTCGAATCGCCGGAATCGCCGCCCCGGGGCCCAATAATTGATCCGAAAGACCGCGCGCCGCCCGCCGATTACGCCGCAGACCACCGCAACGACTGCACCACCGTCGCAGCTAATAACAATAATAACAGTAGTGACCGGCGTGACGCGTGTGCCGCAGGTGCAGCAGCAGCAGTAGCCCATCAGCACCACCAGCAACAGCAGGACGCCACCATGATCATGGAGTGCACCGCCCTGGAGCCCGGCGTAGTCGGGTCTCACCATCACGGTAACCACCATCATCATCATCACCACCACCATCCATATCTGCTAGCCGAGTCCGCGGCGGCAGTGACCACAGTGGCTGCCGCGGCCGCGGCTGCCGGACACTTTAACGTGCTCAGCTTCGAACCGTACAAAGGCGGCGCCGCCACCGGAGGCGGCAGCGGTGCCGGCAATTCTGCGTGCCATAGTCCGGCACAGGGAAACGCGGGCACGGATCTCAACACGCCGGTGACGACCAGCGCCGAAGTACCCTCGTTCTTCGGACCGTCCACGGTCGTCGAACCACCACTAATCACAGGTGCATATTCTTTTAGCTTTACCGCTTTTAAACCAAAAAAAAAACGACCATTTTAAAACGCTAGTTTAAAACAAATATTTTCGTTTTTTACCTATACTATGAAAATTTTGATAATCATATAATAACGGTCTTGGCGCCAAACAACTTGAAAAAAAAATAGATGATTGGTAAACGTAATATTTTCTCAAGTCTTTTAAGTTATATAACTTTTTTTAATTATTATTAATGTTGATAATATTTGTTTTTCTCCTGTCGTGTTACTGGTTAAAAAATGTTAATTTATAGTAGAGGTAAATCGAAAATATTTGATGGTTAAATTTTGTATAGTCATTTTTATATATATATGGTCAAATTATAAGTTTTTATATTTATACATATATAATATTCTTTGTAAATTAGCATCCGGCCGCGGCCAATTTTTTTGGAATAGGTTTCAATCTAGTTAAGCACAGATAATAATAAATGGAAGAGGGTCGACAGGGTTAGTACTTCGGCATCTGGGGTGCGGTTTTCTCGGAAGATCGATTTTTGTAGTTCGTTGGCACACGACTGCCTTTTACCGTTGAAAGCGAAATCCCGCAATTTATTTTCTATTTTATCTTCTTCGGTTTTCCTTTGCTCGGCATTTTCGTCTCCGTGTTGTTATAATTTCGTTTGGTACGCGCGTACACACGGGCGCACAGAACCCTGGGAGGCAATAATCTAATCCACAGTTTGCGGGCCGAGAGGGTGGCGACCGGTGAAGGCCGTTCATTCATGCGACCGGGGTTGAACGGCCTCAGAGGGACGCCGTTGCGGAGGCGGAGTGGCCGTGGCATTGTGGACGCCACGACGGTGCGTGCGGCCCGGCCGCTGATCAATAACCGCCGCGTCCAAAAGGGTGGTGCGACCAGGGGCCCCCCTCGCGCCGTCTGCGAGAACATGAATGGGAAGAAAGTCGTGGCCTTGTCGGTGTCCTCCTTCTCCCGCCCAGGGAGCCTACCGGTAAAAAACCGCGGGGTAGTAAACGCTCACCGGACCGATCGATACAGGACGTTTGAACAGCCTCCGGTGGTGCTCAACCGCGGATCTCTTAAGTGTATAACCTTGTTAGCAATTTGTTTTATCACCGGCTTGTTGATAATATTAGATATTAGATACTTTATATGGGCTTTAAAAATATACATACAAAAATCATGTTCTATTTATGAAATAAATAGGATAGTTTTTTAAATTGACTTATTTTTAACGTTCGATCGTTTACAGCAAAATTTAATAGATATTAAATGTTTCCATAAGTGTTCGTTCGTCGGCCGAGTGCTGTTTGCTTTTACAAATAAAAATTCATCTCGACCGGAGAAATTTGGCGAAACGCCACCATAATATCGCCATATTGCCTCGACGTGCCTTAAATTATACAATAACATCATGTATACGCAAAATTGATTGCGACCAGTGTAACGATATTAATCCGACCCCGTCTGATATTTCAACCGGTCCTTTTTATTTTTATTCCTGAAAAAGTCGTCCCGGCGGTTTACAAATCTGTGGATTGATTTTGTTAGTTTGAAAAATGGCGGCAATCCGCGCATTCTCGGAAATCCCCACGTGCGTTCGACTCAGCATGAGCCAGACGGAGCAGACGTTTTTATTGTTATTGTCCGTTGTGTTTTTTTTTTAAGTAAGCGTGAATAACTTAACCGCGTGATTAACAAGTACTTTTTATAATATTAAAATGACAAAAAAAAGTCATAAACCGTGTCATAATGAGTTATATTGTGAGAGTTGATTACCGTTTTGGCAATAATTAATGACTTACCAGAGTTTTTTAAAATAAAATGATAAACTAATCAAGTCTTAAGCGAGAAGGTGCCGCCTGATTCGTTTCGTTTTTAATATACCGCGCCACCAAACTACATAGGGTGTAATAATACAACAGACATGGGATTCTTATAGCTATTAAGTAAAGAAAACACTCTCCTTCCTCGACTAATATAGTATACCGTAAGCTGAACCCGCACTATGCATGTAAATCCTGACGATCGTTCTACTAGTTTACCAAAAGTAGGTGACCCGTTGCAGTGTTTCGCTGTTGTATTGACAATGATATTATGTTGACGATTACTGACAGAACACTTGTAATGTCTAGTTAGTGTGCTGGGGTTCATAACGCACGACAGTCCATATGTTAAAGCGGGTCGTCCAGAACGGAGAAAGATATAAAAAACCCATATCAACTATACGAATTAAACCAGTTGTGGCCGCCGCCGCCTTCTAGATAAAATCCAAAAATTATGTGACATGACCGCCGTTGTTCGTAAAGACCGAGTGTACACAAACAACACGGTCGACTCTCGATTACCATCAAAAAATAATATTACTTTTTGCTGTACATTTTTTATTTCATTTTTTTTTTTGCATATATTCTTACATAGGTTTTTTTTAACCGTCGTCTCCCCTCGTTATTCGGCATACTTACATGCACAAAACTCGTGTATAATCACCGCATATCCGCTAAATCGCAGCCACTACTGGGTTTTAAACCTACGGGCGGAAAGTTAAGCGGTCTGCTGACCCATAAAAGAAAAGAAAAAACTTAGCATTGTCCTTGTGATTTGCCATTGCCACAACGCGATTACTATTATTTTAGTTTTGTAGGTTTTTAACGTCTCGTTAACGGTTTGCCATTTCGGGTGTTCGCAGGTTCGTTGCAGGACACGGACGACAGCGTTGTCAATCGGAACGCCGTTGAACACAAGCTCGAAGTGTCGCTACAGTTGAAAACCGAAGCCATCGGCGTCGACCCAGATCAGGACGATGCAGCCGGCGGACAGGACGTCATGTACGCGACCAACAACCCGTCGGCCGGTATGTCGTCCAGGATTAGTTACAGGTTCTCGACCAACAGTCCCATGCAGACGGTGGTACCGCCGACGACCTCAAACAGTTCCTCAAACAACAGCAACCACCTAAACACGTCGTGGCTCCTACCCAGCCCGGACAAGAACATATTCCCACCTCTGTTCAGCCTGCTTCAGCCGCAGTCGTCGAGCACGCCCACCTCTTACCACGGCTCGAGTCCGCATTACGACGACAGATCTCAACAAAGTCAAGTGGAACTACTCGGGCTGAGCATAGAATGCGGCGGCAAACAACAGCAACCGCCCACGTACACGAGTTGCGGAAACGACCAGGATCTCATTTACCACAACAACCGCGGTCAACAAATGCAAATGCAGCAACAACAACAGCAGCAGCAACCGTCGCCGGTGAGCAAGTATCACTGGCTAGACTCGCCCGTCGAGTACGGCCAACCGCAACAACAGTTACAGCCGCAACAACAGCAGCAACAACAAATGATCCCCAAACAAGAGTTTGGCGGTGTCATCAACGTGGACGTGCAGTCACCGGGTTCGTCGAGCGTGTCGCAAGGAGGTGGCGGCGCCTACAGCGTTCAATTAGCCGAGTACAACCCGTCGACCAGCAAAGGCCACGAGATCTTGTCGCAAGTGTACCAACAGTCGTCACTGCCGCTCAAGCTGGTGCCGGTCAAGCCGCGCAAGTACCCCAACCGGCCCAGCAAGACTCCCGTGCACGAACGGCCGTACGCCTGCCCGGTAGAGCACTGCGACCGCCGGTTTTCTCGGTCCGACGAGCTCACCAGGCACATACGCATACACACCGGCCAAAAACCGTTCCAGTGCCGGATATGTATGCGATCATTTTCCCGGTCCGACCACCTGACCACGCACATTAGGACGCACACTGGCGAAAAACCGTTCACGTGCGACGTGTGCGGCCGCAAGTTCGCCCGTAGCGACGAGAAAAAACGGCACGCCAAGGTTCACCTGAAGCAACGGACGAAGAAAGAAACGAAAATGGCCGCTTTGCTCGCTCAACAACAACAACAGCAGCAGCAGCAACAACAACAACAACAGCAACAGCAGCAGCAGCAGCAGCAACAACAACACCAGAACACGGCTCAACACATGCATCACATGGGATTTCAGCCTGGTGACGGTGGACACATGTAAACAATTTTTAAAAACGTATAATTAATATTATTATATACTCATGTATTATGTCTTTTTTACGTTAGAGTTTTCCTCTTTCTTTTTGTTTGATTTTTCACTTTATATATATTTTTTACATTGTTCGTATTCGACGACTTGTTACGATTATACCTGTTACACGGGACTTATATTTTATATATTGCATAAAAAACAATCAATATCTCGAGCAAATGCAGAAAGAAAGAGAAAAAATGATGAAAGAGTGAGAGAACGCGAGCAAGTATACCGTTACCATTTAGTATGCAGTTTTGTTGTTTTATAATATATACTTACCTATGTGTGTTTGTATGTATTGTCTCACGCTTGTTCGAACATTTTGGATCACAGAGTATTTACAGGGACGGCCGGTGGAGCCATTGCGAGAACAACAAAAACAGGGACGTTACGTTATTTTTTTTACTTTTAAAATTATTAATAACGATTAAAAAGCGCTTTTTTCTATTTTCTGTAAAATATTATTCTTTACACACCGATCGCTATATCGCAGCGGAGAGAGATCAGGGTCGTCATTAAAAGTAGAAAGACCACACATCCACTCCAACTTTTTTACACACACAAGCACATGGCCTTTTGTACTTATGAGCTCGTCCATTTACACCCATTTACGCCCATATAGCTACGTTGTTAATAATTATTTAACTGTATAAAAACACTAGTGTAGAATAGGATTTCGTTTCTAATCGAGTTTCGCCAATCTGTGATCTGTTTTCATATTTATATACATTTTGGTATTTGCCATCATTGAGCTGGACTCAATGATAAATCTATTTTCACTTTTTGGAATTGCAGTGTTTTTTTATTACCCTCCTATCCTGGGTACATATTTAATAACAATAATATAAATAATAACGTAATACTTTTCATCACAATATATTACCTAATAAAGATTATAATTGTAATATTATTATACATAGATATATAGCTACACGTATAGCTAAGCGTATAATACTATTCCAACGTTGTGTGTTGTTTTTGCGTGTGGTTCGTTAAAAATCATATTTAACAATATGTAAAACGTATTATAAGAATAATATACTGTGTTATAATGCGTTTACCCTGGATATCCTGGTGGACATATAATAAAGGATCGAGTTTGTTTATAAAAAAAAAAAAAGAGTACCTGATTAAAAATAATATTTTACAAATAAATATAATTTTGCGTTACTATCAATGTGAAAATATATTTATAATAATTTTAAAAAAAATAGTAATAATATTATTTCAATAACGCACAAACACATTCCTTTAGCGCTATTATTCTATGTTTGTTTTACAATAATATTATTTATTTGCTGTTTTACCAAAAAAGAAAAAAATAGTCGTTGAATTGATTTACATTACTTATTATCCTTTTCGAACTAATAAGCGGTACATGCTACATTTCTGCATTCCGTTTTTATTGTTTTTGTCATAACCTCTTGAGATAAAAACTAAGTGTGAGGTGTGTAGCGCAGAATAAAAAAAATAGGGTTATATTATTATATAAATTAAAAAAACAAAGAAAGAAAAAATACTAATACAAACCGTATGAGTTTTTTTTTAACTTAACGACAATTAACAAAACGCTGTATTAAAAACAAAAAGACATTAATTTGTAAATCTGTGTAAAAAAAATAATTTCGTTAATTTATTTATTTATTATTTTCCTCGTCTGTCTGTATAAAGTTTACTCGAAATTAGCCTAAGTACCTACAAATATAAATATATATTAATTATTTAAATATATTTATTTATTATATTATTGTAAATCATCGTCTTTCTGTTAACAACCATCTATTTTGTTTCTTCGGTTAAAGCAATTAAAACAATTTTATTTTAAAGTTTGCTGAAAATGATTAACAAATTTTTAACAAAAATTACTATACTGTTAAGGTGTTTTACTGTGTAAGTATATACATATATTTAGAAAAATAAAATAATGTTGTTTTTTATTATTTTTATTATTTTGGTTTTTCTATTATTCGTCTACTAAATGTATCTGAGTGCAACAGATGTGTTTATCTTTGGACAAGTGTCGTCGGTGCTATACTATTTTTTTAAGTAGAGCTGCTCAAAATGGTTTCTCATTAGAAAAGAAATATTTCTCGAATGACGGATTATTAGTTTTTTGTTTACTATATGTGTACTGTTTTCGACTGACCGACGCGACAGTGCGCTGTATTCACTCAAGTATAATGTATTGTTCTTTACAGAGCGATCCATTTAATGTAAGATACTCAATATCTCTTAAAATAATTTCAATTTTGTAGTTTCTTTTTTAGAAAAATGTTTGTTCACGTTATTTTACAATATTATAACATTATTATATATTTATGTTTTTTAGTATTTTCTAGAGATCTATCAACTTTTAAATCTTAAATGGTATCGTAATAAACCCTATAAACTTTATTTAGAATAATATGCTGAACATTTAGAATGGCCGATAATCAATTAGAGTTTAAAATGTAGGACGGGAGGTGGAATGCGATTAAGTAATGTGCTTTACTTTAAGGTTTAATAACTTTAAAAGTAATTATTCAAAACTGGTTATCGACTGTTTAGCAATGGAAAACCAAAAAAAAGTATTGTCTAATATTGTATGATAACATAAAGTAAAATTTTTTCAAAAATATACTTAAAAATTGTAATTATTTTCAAGGAAAATAAGTGTCTACCGTAAGACTCCTACGTTAAATGGATCACTCGGTAGACTATATAATATACAGGATTTATGCATTATCCTTATCGACGGCTCATATAATACACGTATATGACGTATTATACAAATATTATTGTTAATGATTAAAAAAAAACGTTGTTGGTCGTTTCCGTTATTAAAACATAATAACATTATATATTAAAAGTGCATGAATTCAAAAGTCGACAAATGGTACACAAATATATATATAAACCGATAAGGGAACTTCCTATAATAAAATATTTTTTAAATTTATAATACGTTTATATATATTTTTATATACATTATTAATAAAACGATAGCCGCGGGTGCAGAGTTACCATTATGTATATATATATATATATTGTATTCTGTTTAAATTTTAATATTAAAACGAATATTATGATTTATTTACATTTGGTCCAAAGTGATGTCCGGTTATTAGTCAAGTATTTATACTTTTTATTAATCTACCCGCTAAAAAAACCAAACTGTAGGAACTGAAGGTTTTTTTTTGATCTTAATATTATATGTTTTAAAAGTGGTCGTATATGGCCGCATACACTATTAAGAATGTTACTAATAACAGCTATTTGCTCTCATTCGATGTTTGTCCATGTAATGTTACGCCCAACCGATAAATTTGTATTTCCATTGATTATTTTAACGTCATTTATGCAATTGAATGATAATTGCATGCAAAAAGTAGTAACCTATTAATTTATTGGTGTAGTGGACATTTTCTGAGAGGAATGGAGAGGAGCGAGAAGGAGAAGGTAATCTTATGATAGTTGCCCATGTCAGTGTTTGTCGAACTAGATATATCTAGTTAAATGTTTTAATTAATAATTTAACGGTTATGTTACTAAAGTTAAAGGAAAAAAATTGTTGTTTAAAAGAAAAGTAGTAAACTTACATAAATTATATTTGTTGTACGTTTATAAAGTTTAAAAATTGCTATTATATTGAATAAACGTATTAAATGAAAAACTTTTTGCAATGTAATCCAGCATTTGTTTTAGATAATTATTAATTTTACTTGTAAAAAAAAACTACCTCGTGAAGATAATATTGTGATTTTGTATGTTTGCTGTGTACTTATATCAATATAATACTATTAAATACCGCTGTAATAATTTTACTTATAAAAAAAATAATAAAATGTTTTTATCTTGTTTGTATTATTTATGTATATATTATAATTAATATTTGTTTGTAATACTAGTGTATAATGGTATGATTTAATTGTATAAAATAATACATCCAACTTGTAATAAACATAATATAATACATATAATGTAATAAATGTGTGTATATATATATATATATATATATATATATGTATATATAATTTACGATTTGACACTAAACTATATAAGATATACATGTATACCTAATTACCATATTTATTATTGTTTACAATAATATGTCCATGTCTTTTTGACTGACATACCTAATGTTTTTTTTTATACTTGCTTTACGTTTAAAAAACGCACACGGAATAAAAAAATAAAAACCAGTAAAATGTTGTTAATTAAATAAACAAAATTGTGTTTTTTTTATCACAGTATTAAAAATTTATCTCAAGGACATAATTAATTTGTATGTAAAAAGTTAAATTAAAACACCGGAGGACTGAAGATTGAAATATGCTGCACGCCGTCCCGCCGGTGTGGCTGCAGCATGCAGCGTACATGATTTATATAGCCGTAGTTTGTCTTCGTTTGGACTTGAGTGTACAATAATAATAAAAATGATAATACGGATGCGACACTATTTCTACAATATAAATACATACCTATTACCGATATTATTCCGCAGTAACGCCAAGTAGAGCAATGAATAGGTACACTATTGAACGTCACGTCACCGACCTTCGAGCCATTGTGTGTTATATGCATCTTTAGAGCAATACACTACGAGGAAAACTCCGTATGAATACTTGCAAAGTATGTTAATTATTATTTAATTACGCGATGAGTGTAATAGATAAAAAAAAAAAATCATTGTAAACCAAAAACATACTATCGTTTATTGGTATAATACATGGGTTTTCATCGAGACCAGTCAACGAAGGGGATGATTTTTAAATAATAAAAATACATATATTATTTCGTTACATGAGTACGTTAATACAATATACAACAGCTGGCCATGAACAAATGTGTTTTAACAAGAAGTTAGAACCAAATCTTCAACCTCTTTAACACTAAAAAATAACTATAATATTGGCCTGATGTCCAGGTTTGAAGCTGTGTGTTGTTTATATGATTTTGAGATTAATTAAAATCAAATAATTGTTAAAAATGAAAACATATCACTCAATAAATAATAATAAATACAGTAAAAGTCTATAACCATTTGATTAAACCCAATAAAAAATATAGTTTTATCGACTTTAAATCTTTGTACATTTTCCTGGGTAGGTACCTTAATTTTAGCCCGTTTAAAAATCAGTGGTGTTTTATTTTTGATTCATTTTACTTTTCAGTTTCTTCGGTGATGATGATGATGCGACATAAAAAAATACAAAAATAATTACAGTAGATGTATAATGTGCAAAAAAATAAAAAGGTGTTCGCGGTATGTGTTCATGTCTGTGTTTGTCGACAGGTCTGAAACCATGTAGAGTCGTTTTATACGCTGTCGAAGTCGAACAACGTCGTTTAATAATAAAAACTCGGGACGACCTGCTCGATAGCGAAGACCCCGGTTGAAGACCTTCGATCCCTGACTTATAAATTTATCATACACATTACAATGGGCGCACCGAGCTAGAGAATACGGTTGAGCCGCGCAATTAACATATTTTTCGTTCAGCCAACTCTTATAACTATAACGCAGTACCAGTGTATTTTCTTAGTGCACGGATTCTAAAGAACATTCATTTAATTGCGTTTCTTCTCTGTTAATTGTAAACTGCCAATATGATGCTAGACGCGCATTAATCCTTGACACGGGACTAATAATCTCAACATATTTTCCAACAATTTTAGCGTACCTCTTGTTTTTATTTAAGTTGTGAACTCGAAATATTTTTTGTATTATTAAAACATCTCAATAATTAATAGAAAGTTTTTACAAACAAAAAATAATAATAATAATAAGCCTATAGGCTATAATTTTCAGACTCAATATAATTTCATACATAAACTGGGCTAATGTGCAACTATTTAAAACAATGTAATATACCTACATTTCTATAATTGTTTACATAAATATATTGATATATACCTATGTAACATTGGGCCGTAGTTGGACTTTGGGCCACCTCTTCCAAATTCGCCAATGACAAATTTAGCTATTTTAGTTCTCCAGAGTTGTGCAAAATCTGGATTTTTTAAACTCTGAAATTCTTAACCCAAGTATTTTAAAATAAAATATTTTAATTAAACTATAGTTTTAAATAATCAATACCCTATTTTAAAGAATTTAGATCATTAAAATCCTAAAAAAAA